CGATCGGATAGGAAGGAGAAAGGATAGAAATGTGGACCCAGGAAGAGTCAACACCAACCCACCAAGGATGAGGATGGCAGAGGATGAGGGGATGCAGTCAGCAGGGTGTGGGATGTTAGCAAGCATTGGCTTGAGGATTTGGAAAGGGGGTGTAGGATGTATCCGACTGGATGCATGTTCATGCATCCTGCAGCTGCCAAGACTCCCCAAGAATGCAAGGATGGGCCGCCAATTTGACACCCTCCATCAGTGTACACTGATGTATATGCAGTGTGACCCACTAGATATTCATGGTGATTGATAGGGGATTTAATTATTGGCTACATTGGTGTAGCCATAGATGTAGCCATAGATATCTATGAACTCGCTAATCCTAATTAGACCTGTTAGATCTCGCATTATTAGATCTAAGGTCTAGACCCAGATACATGTTGATGGTTTTCATGAAATTTCATGGTAATTTCACTGTTTCACAATCACTGTGATATATTACCTATCCGGGAACTATAAGAGCTCCATCAGGCATTCATTACAGAATGTTTTCATGGCTGATGCATTCTTAATGCATACTTATATGACATACTTACATAAAACCGCTTAATCCCAGTGTAAGAATGTTTAAGAATGCACACCCGCCGCCTCCGTGTTCTTCCGACATTCTTATCGTTCTTAAGCATTCTCCTAAGTTTCTTAACCCCCCTCCGCGTTTGTAGGGGTACGTGGCTAATAATAAACATCCACAGCACATGTTTGTAATCAACCGCCCAACATGATGAATGCACAGTTCCAAGTACATACACCAATTTACTTACACTGCTAAGGGTGCCATCCACGATTAGGTTCACCATCGCTACACCAGCTGTATATTTGGTGATGGCCATCTTAACGCCCGGGGGATTAGGTGGCGGGGGCCTTGGAGGTCTTGGAGGCAGCGGAGCTGCAAATAGACAGCAGGGAATGGAGCGTGGCCACAGCAGGGACCGGTGGGAAGCACAGCAACGACAGGGAAGCATGGTCACATTGGTGTGTGTGACACCTTCTATGGGCATGCATGCATGAACTATATGCCTTCGATGCAGACAACCAGATATATATATATCTGCCTATATAGGCAGAGATGGGTTACATAGCAATGTCCTGGGTTCCACTATGTGCGTGCATGCATATACATGCAAATCACGTGATACTGGAATGCCCAGCCTATAATGATATTCGTGCTGAAGAGGGATTCAATCATCAACAGAGCATGTTGGAGGCCATGAAATGGGAACCAGCACGTCTGGCGAGGATGTTGGAACGTATGTGGGCTCACCGAAACTCAATTATCCCCTTTGGACGCTAGTCTGGGCTGATGTGTGGTGATTTCCTTTCCTCCGTGGCTTTTAGGCGTTGTAGTATTGCCCTTGGGCCTTCGGCTTGTATGGGTAGTCTTACAGGTATGGGGTCACGCACCCCCAACCATGTAACACACACACACACATGCAAATAATCTAATCTAGACTAGACTAGACTAGACTAGACTAGACTAGACTAGACTAGACTAGACTAGACTAGACTAGACTAGACTAGACTAGACTAGACTAGACTAGACTAGACTAGACTAGACTAGACTAGACTAGACTAGACTAGACTAGTACAAGGGTACAAGGATGTAAATGTGAGGCTTGGATCCAAGGTATGTTGGTAAATTAACCCTAAAATCTGACTGACAGGCACCTTGCTTATTCATGCGGGTTTACATGGGTTGAGTTGCTATCGATGGATGACAGTGAGCCTAAGCTAACTGAAGGCGCAGGCAGGTGGCAGGCTTTTGCGCAAACCTGGAATTTTCTTAAAAACGCAAACTGATTGCAAGCATGTCAATGGACCGCAGATGCCTTCATCCAGCCTTCACCCTAGTCTATCCCCACCAATGGGTTGCAACTGCTCATGAGACCCATGAGGCCGGTATTATTTAATTAATAAGCGAAAAAAGTATGAAGGGTCCAGGGATATGACATCCAAGGCTTTGCATGTGGGCCGGTTTATGATCTCCTGGTATTGTTGCGACAAGCTGAAAAAAGGGTGGGGGCCCCTTGCATCGGTACAGGCCGGTAGCTAGGGCAGCGTCAACGTGGTGGGAGCTGTGCTTGTTGCAGCAGAGCTGATGCTGCGGATGGTATGTTTGTCTGAGCACCGGAGGCAGGAAGCCGGGCCTCATAACCTGTTGAAGAGACGGTATCTCTCTGGAACCTAGCAGACACAGCTAAGAGTCATTGGCCGTTACATGTAGTCGGGAGGTCCGCGACCTGCCACCGACAGCCCCTTGCTTGAGTGTAAACGTATGAGTCTGGGGAGCCGTTAACGGAACACAGCAACAGCGGCTCGGCCGCCAAGTCCGCGGTCCAGGCCGGCTGCTCAACGCTCAGCAGATACAATCGCAGCTTGCCAGCCTTCAGCCTGTTGGCTTTGCGGTCTGGTGCCGCAGCCATAACACACATGGGAAACAGTGCCGTACAGCAATGTACACACTGCCTACGGCGCCCCTTCAGGCATTGACCTGCCATTCGGGCGCCTGCTCACACACCCTTGGCGTCCACCTCAAAGCCTAGCTCGACACACTTCCCCAAAGCCTGCAGCCCTTTCCGGTTCAGCAATCCGCCCCACAGCCGCCGCAGCACACTACAAGTCTTTGGAGGCCCTGAGCATTGGCCAAAGTAACTGTAGAAACGAGCAGCTTGCGTACTTCATAGAGAAATGAAAGCAAATTTGTGGGCCTGCTGGTGGCAAGTCGGAATGCCCGTGCAGGCAAATGGTAACACAAGCTGGGTGTTCGAGTTATCATACACCGTAATCTCAAAGCTGAATTATGAGTTATGCGGTACCTTTTGAGATTTTATTTAGCCCGAGAGGCGTTGATGTGACTTTGGCCTCGGTCAATGGAGGCAGCCAAACTTATTTGTGCTCATATTGTTGACTTAGATACAACGGATCGAGTCTCTAAGGCTGGTTCTGTGCGACTGTCGTACAACCGTATTGGAATGGCGAGTATTATTTGCTTCAGCTCTTTCGTTACAGGCATATGCCTTCTGCCTTTCACTCAGTAGAGTTTCAGCTTGCATTTTGCTTAGTAATCTCGGACAGGGCATTGTGCTCACTATCGAAGCCCTACCTAGTCATCACCTTCTCTTTCAAGTTCCTGTCTTTTTTCACCTAAAGGAGATGTTGACATTGAACAAGGAGCAATCGCAGCAAGAGCAAGGTATGCTGCCCAAGATGGCGCCAATGTGGCAATCAACACTACACCCTACCAACTCATAGGGGGTCTAACAGCGGCTAACTTCTTAGGCGGAGCTGTCAGCCGGGCTCATTATCAGCTGCTGACGATAGTTGTCAACGTGGCATAACAGCCAGTTAGACACTGGGTTAGAGGCTGTTTGGTCCTGTTAGGCCCTGTGACTGACATGTACCTGGAGCCCACACTGTTAACAGTTGTCTGATTCTAGGGACTGTTAGCAGCTGTAAGGACCTGTAACAGAGCGCTTTCTGCCACAACAGGATATTGTTGACAGGATGTTACATTCTGGTTGGGTCACCCAGATGCTGAGAAAGAATTTTTGACGGCTGTTAGGTTTTTTTAAGTTAACAGTTGTCTGATTCTAGGGACTGTTAGAAGCTGTAAGGACCTGTAACAGAGCGCTTTCTGCCACAGCAGGATATTGTTGACAGGATGTTTCATTCTGGTTGGGTCACCCAGATGCTGAGAAAGAATTTTTGACGGCTGTTAGGGTTTAGGGAAGGTAATTGTTAGCAATTGTTCAATTCACTTAAGTTGTTAAGCGGTGCCAAGGGCTGTAGTTGCTAACAGGCGTTGAAAGCTGTTACGAGCAGGGACATGCTGAAAGGAAGTTCCATCATGTTACTGGCTGTTGCCATTACATAATTTGCTGAACTGCTGTTTAAGGATTTTACTTGCTGTTTTGAGGTTCAGACGCTGT